TGTGTGTGTGTTTGTGTGTGTGTGTGTGTGTGTGTGTGTGTGTGTGTGTGTGGGTGGGTGGGCTAGTCTGTCATCTATATTCTTGAATACTTTAATCTCCTAGTGAGCAGATTTCAGATGAACGGTGTGATCTTGCTCTCGTTCTGCTGTCAGTTGTGTTGGAGGATGAAGTCTTTGAGATCTTGTAAAAGGAATCATTGTGTGGTGAAGACAGCAGGTTACCGATTCAACCGTTGTTTTTTCTTCAGCTCTGTCACTCCCACTGCCTTCATTACAGTGACCTTCCTGACCTCCCGACAGATGGAGTGAATTGAGCGCTAACTGTGTTTCTGCTGGGTAGGGTTTGGTGCTGTACGCGTGTCGCTGATCTGTCTCTTTGTGTGTGTGAACGTCTCTTCAGATGAGTTCTGGTTCTCTGACGGCTCGCTGGCCGACCGCTCGAAGTTCAGCGACCCGGGTCTCATGCCTCTGCCGGACACCGCCACGGGCCTGGACTGGTCTCACCTCGTCGACGCCGCCAGAGTCTTTGAAGGTAGGTGGAGAAACGCTGAAATGCAGCATGAGTCTGGTTTCTGAGGCAGAAACTGAAGCGGCATTCATGCTGAACTCCAAAAATATTTTAAGATTTGCAGATTTGAATTGCATATAAAATTCTCATACATTTGGATTACATAGTTTTAACATAAATAAACTAATAAACTTAATGTGATGCATATTCGTCAGTCATGCATAAATGAAACAAATCGGATTTCTGTAATAATACTAATAAACTGAGTGTGTTTTAAATACACAATAACCAGGTTTATATATGTCATAAATAAATCCAGTTTGTTTCAATCTCATTCATTTTAACTAAATTAATATTGCTTATTCCACAACCATAGCCATATTTTAACTTTATTCATACTTTTTAACTTAATAAATGTAATTGTTTTCGCATTGAACAGATTTATGCTGATTCTAAGCAATTTGAATAAATGCATTTCAAATATGATTTAAATAAAATCAAATAGATGCAAATAGTTAATAATGACACTTGGTTGGATATTTTGAGGTCTAATGAAATATTATTATTATTATTTATTGTTATTATGATTAATAATAATAATTATTAGTAGTATGTGATTATTATGAATTATAATAATTATATGTAATGTGTTTATGTTGTTATATGTTATATAAAATATAGTTATATTTTTAGATATTTATATTGTGTATACATATTAATTTGTATTAATTAGTTATTAACAATTAACATATTTGTTTATTCTAAGCATATATATGCAAATAATTAATAACATTTTGTTTGATATTTTGTGGTCTAGTGGAGTAATATTGTTTATTATTATTATTAATAATAATAATAATTATATGTAATATTTATATTTTTGTATTTATATAAATATATAGATTTTTTGAAATATATTGATCTATTATATTAATTGTCAATAATACTCAGTGTTTTAAATGCACAATAACCAGGTTTATATATTTATCATCATATTTGTTTCAGTCTCATGCATTTTAACTAATTCAACATTGCACATTCCACAGCTAGCCATATTTGAACCATGTTCATACTTCTTAGTAAATGTAATTGTTTTCACAACGAACAGATTTGAGTAAATGCATTTTGAAAATACCAGCCTGGTTATTGTGCATTTAAAACCCATTCAGTTTATTATAATCAGCATCATAACAGAAATCTTGCATTTTTCTTACCCGTTTCATTTATGTATGACGTTTAATAGTTATTCATGTTACAACTGTGTAATCCAAATTGATGGAAATTTTATATGCAATTTAGATACATAAATCTCAAATTCAGGCCTAAATATCTGAGTGCAGACACCTTGAATCAGCCGAGCGCTGCCACCTGCAATTAAACACTCAGCCGGCATGCTGGGTAATTATCATTTGCATGTGAACACACACGGCTCTGGTGCTGTCTGTCCCGCACTCATCCTCCTGTGTGCTCCTGTCGTTCTCTAAATGGATTAGTAAGGAGGCCATCGTCATTTTGTTAATGGCTCCTGTCTTCATCCAAGGCATTTAAGCTGTTTTTCAGTGCTGTGGTGGAGGACACGGCCTCAAGCTGATGTTTGTGAGGAGCATTAGTGGTTGTTTTTTCATTTTAAGGTATTCATTGGTCTAGATTCTTCTCAAGGAGAATCGATGTTATGAATTAAACCTGAGATTCATGCATAAATGGATTGTTTTGCCTGCATGTAAACCTAAATACTGTTATCTTCTCATTGCATCAACTGAAGAACATTGCACACCTTTCCTTTTTGGGTGATGAAATCATGAAATTGAGTCTAGGTTGTATTTTACAATAAAATCAAAAGAGAAATTAAATAATGTTTTGCAAAATGAAGCCTATTTTTAGGAGTATTAAGATGTTTTTGCGTTGTGTTTTGCATTATTCTCATGCGAGTTAAGCACAAATCTTCATTACTTTAATGCATCTGGATGCTTTAAAGTATGTTTGTAAATTTCATTATTTTTAATGGTGATTCTAATTAGATTCTTAGTAAAAGTAACTCTTTAAAACACAAAAATATTTGTGAAATTTACTAGCAGTTTCTGAATGAAAATTGATTCACCACCATCTTTTTTAATATATATATTGTTAACTTACTCCACCAATCAAATCTGAATAAATATGTGTGTGTGTGTATATATATATATATATATATACACAGGGGTGCACATAAGGTTTTCAGTCTGGTTCTCATGAAAGCACCTGGAGATTTGGTTTGCTGCTCACACTGCACATATGGTGTGACCTATTAAATATAACTATTAAAAAAATAGTAGAATTATTGCACTTTATTTATTTAGTTTTTTTTATATATATCAAATGATAAACAAAATAATAAAGTGTGATAATACTTTTTTTTTCCATTTTAGGCTGAAATCTGAGAGACTTATTCCACCAATCAAATCTATATAATTAATGAAAAGATTAAATTTATTGATTCATTACACGCTAGAGAAAATGTATCATGTGCTACCTTTGGTTGATGCTACCTTGAATAATTATATATTAACATAAAATGTTAAACAAATATTTAATAATAATAACATCTCAGCTATATTTTAATAGTTGTAATTTAGTTTGGAATCTGTTGCATGCAGAGCATTGATTAAGCATTGATTAATCTTTCCGCTGAAAGAGAGAAATACAGAGCTTTGATTGTCGTGTTTTTAATGAAAACTACCAGCGTGATGAGAAACACACATGTAGGAATCTATCTATCAGCTATCATCTATCTATCTATATTTTTGCATTGTGCTAATGAGAATTTGGAGGGGAAATGTGCTAATAATAGTAACAATAATAAAAATGAAAAAAAGAATGTTTTCTTGCTAAATTAAAGGCAAATTAACCTTTATTTTAGTTTTTGTATGTAATCAGAATATGGTGGGAAAATGTGCTTATAATAATAATGATGATTGCAAAATAAATGCATTTTTTTTCATTATGGTAATCAGGATCTGGAGGGGAAATGTGTTTATAATAATTAAAAAAAAATTATATTTTCTTGTAAAATTAAATGCAACAACTTTTTGGCATTATGGTTATGAATTTGGAGGGGAAATGTGCTAGTAGTAATAATAATAATGCTAAAGATATTCTGTTTTCTTGCTAAATTAAAGGCAAATTAACTTTTTTTTTTTTTTTTGCATTATGGTAATCAGAATTTTTTTGAGAGAAAATGTGCTAATAATTTATAACAATAATAGTAATGATGATGGTGCAAGAAAAAATTCTTGAAAAATTAAATGCATTTATTTATTTATTTTAAATTTTTTCATTATGGGAATCAGGATTTGGAGGGGAAATGTGCTTATGATAATGCAAAAATTAGATGCAAGTGTGAAACATGTTTATCTTATTTTTTGCATTATGGTTATGAGAATTTAGAGGGGAAATGTCCTTATAATAATAATAATAATAATAATAATGAATGTATTTTGGAGGGGAAATGTGCTCGTTATATAAGTATGACCTATATAAAGTACCAGTGAGCGAATTTAATGGTTTATTGGTTTCTATTTTTTGTATATTATGAATACTGTTGGCTTTTTGACAAATTGTCTTTGTTCCTCTTTTGTAAGTCGCTTTGGATAAAAGCATCTGCTAAATGCATAAATGCTCAATTTTGCGCTGGGTAGCCCCGCCCACATTGGCATCTCATTGGTCCAAAATCCAGTTGCACATAACTATGTATTAAACATAAAATGTTATGATTGGCTGATGGCATGTCAGTATCATCCATTTTCACTTTCAGTGTGGACAAATAAAAAACGATCAAAATCACATTCAACGTTGCTCTTTCACTCTATTACATGTGAACATACTGTACTAAACCAAAAGCGTCTGGACTGAAGTGATTGGTGTTGGTTCAGAGTGACTGCTCCCGTTTTTACAGTCGTCCTCAGCTGACACTCAAACAAATGAGCTGACGAACCATAGAGCTGCTAAAACCAGCGCAAACTGCTTCACATACCATAAATACACTTAAAAGACTGATGCAATATTTGGAAACAAAGTTATAGTTTTAGAGGAGATGCTTGTTTCTGGGTCTCGCTGTGACCCAGAATAACACTGCATAAAAACACTGAGAGATAAATTTAGCTTACAACATATTTGCCCTCCATTTGCATCAGCGAGCACGGATGTAAGTCAACAAGAAGAAAAGTAGTGTTTAAAAAATGTTTTATTGAGTAGCTCCGGCTAAACGCTCAACAGCTTCACAAACTTATATATAAGTGGGTGATTTAAGACGACTTAATGTTTTTTTTTAAGAGTCCCGTGGCTCTTTAATGCTAGTTTCAGGACACAAGGTCTCACTTTTTCATTAATTACAAACTTAAACTGGATGCAAACCCAACATTAGATATGAAAAACTGATCTGAGGCCAGTTTTTTTTCCTTGTGCAGATGTTTTGAACAAATCAAGGGTTTCATCAGATGACATGAGACCTAAAGACAGACACAGACAGCAATGAGAATGAAAATACAATGATACTGTGTTTTATTGTCTCCAAAATTGAATTCCCCTACAAATTCTCGTTACCATAATGGAGAAAAAAAAGCTAATTGCCATTTAATTCCACAAGAATATAGACTATACAAATAGACAAAAAATAGTCTATTTTCTTGCTAAATTAAATGCAGATGCATTTTTAAATTTTTTGCATTATGGTAATGAGAATTTGTAGCAGAAATGTGCTTCTAATAATAATAATAATATTAATGTAAAACTAGTTTATTTTCTTGCAAAATTAAATGCAGATGCATTATTTAATTTATTTTATTTTAATTTTTTCATTATGGTAATGAGAATTTGTAGGGGAAATGTGCTAATAAATAATGCAAAAATTATTTATTTTCTTGTAAAATTAAATGCAGATGCATTATTTATTTATTTGTTTATTTTTGCTTTATGGTAAAAAGAATTTGTAGGGGAAATGTGCTTATTACAAAAATAATAATAATAATAATAATAATAATAATAATAATAATGGAAAAATCTTTTATTTTCTTGCCAAATTAAATGTAAATGCATTTTTTATTTTATTATTTATTTATCTATTTATTAAATATTAGGGCTTCTTGCATTAAGGATAAACAATCTATGAAAACACACACACACACACACACACACATATATATATATATATATATATATATACATATATATGTAATTGTATGCAGTCTTGCTACTCTTGCTTCACTTCTCTAGAATTAAACTAGCAAACATGACAAAAAAATTTTTGTAATATTTCTTTCTTCTTAACAAAACTTTTAAGATTGATGAGAATGACCCAGGTTCAGTGTGATTGACCTGGGACAAATTATTATTAACACATATTATTATTATTATTATCACATTGCTATATATCCAGTAGTCTGCCATCAGATATGATTTGGTTGCAGTCCTGTCACATTCAGCACTGAGTTGTGGTGTTTATGTGTTGTGGTGTCATTGTGATATTGAGAACCCATCGAGAGTCTGTCTGATGTGTTTATGTGTCCAGACCAGCGCGTGGCCTCGTTCTGCACCATGACGGACATGCAGAGAGCCGAAGCGCTGCAGATCTCACGTGAGCTCACCAGACGCGTGGCGGCCGCTGAGGGAGCTGCACTGGAGGCCGGGTGAGTTTAACAGCAAACACACACAATACACTGTGTGTTCATGCTCCGACTAACAGCTCTGTCTCGCTCTTCAGCGATACGTCTCCAGCCACGCTGACGGGTAAAGTCAATCAGCTGGAGGTCATCCTGAGACAGCTGCAGTATGACCTGAAGAAGGTAAACTGTCCCGTCCTGATGGAAAACAATAACGGTTTTTTAGGTCCACCATAGATGATCTGATTTACATTTCTGGACAGGATGATCATTACTGTATTACGTTAATGAGATTTTTTTACTTACTTGCTTATTTATGTATTGTAATGAAAATTTGTTGGGGAAATGTGCTTAATTATTATTAATAATAACAATGCAAAAAAAGGTTTAATTTTCTTGAAAAATTTAATGCAAATGCATTTTGTTTTTGCAGTATGGTAATGAGAATTTGTAGGGGAATTGTGCTTAATAATAAAAATAATAATGCAAAAAATGGTCAAATTAAAGTTCTAATAAAGTGTCATTTTTTTCATAATGGTAAAGAGATGTTTCGAAGAAATGTACTTGTACTAGAAGTAGTAGTAGTAGTAATAATAGTAATGCAAAAACTTATGTTTTCTTATAAAAATTAGATGCAAATGCAAACATTTTTTATTTTTTTATTTTTTTATTTTTTTCATTATGGTCATGAGAATTTGTAGAGGAAATGTGCTTATAGTAATAATAATGCAAAAAAAATCTTGCAAAATTAAATTCAAATGCATTTTTTATATTTTTTTTTGTTTAGTTTTTTTGCATAATTTGGATTTGAATTTGGAGGTGCAATGTGCTTATAATAATAATACTGCAAAAAATATTATTTTTTCTTGCTAAATTAAATGCAGATTCTTTTTTTAACAATAATAATAACAAAAAAAAACTCTATTTTCTTGCAAAGTTAATTGCAAATGCAAATTTTATTTTTGGCATTATGGTAATAATAATTTGTGGAGGGAATGTGCTTATTTTAATAATAATAATAGTAATACAAACAAAATATCTGTTTTCTTTGAAGGGAAAATGTGCTTAATTGTCATAATAATGCCACAAAAAAGTACATTTCTTGCAAAATCTTGCAGTATGACAGTATGACGTGAAAAGGTCAACTAAGGTAAACCCGTCCTGATGGAAAACAGTAGCCGTGTTTTGTAGGTCCACTGTAGATGTTTTTATCCACTGACAAGATCTGGTTTTCTCCACGTCTCTCCATCCATTTTGTGAATGTGAGGAAGTACATCAGCTGCGTTTGTCACTTCACAGGAAGAAGGCTTTTTAGGGGAAGGATAGGCAAATAATGTGGTAATGGGCACCAGCATGCAGAATTGCCACCTTGTTGGCCCGGTTTAATATCCTGCTTCCTGTCATTTTAAATGACTGCAGAGTGACGGCGGCTCAGCAGGAACAACTCCAACTGCCCATGATGCACCTGATGTAATTGCTGATAGTGTTGCAGCGTTCACATCAGGTCAATATACGTAGAGCTGGTGTACAATTACTCTAAATGGTTATAAAGAGGCATATGAATATGAGTTATGAGTCATACAGTATATCATTCAAACTTTTCTTTCTCTGTAATGAGCTCTCAGTGCAAAAAACTCCAGAGAGAGAAATGTATAATGTATGTAAAACACTTTTGTCCCAGAGGTTTTCAAACTTAAGAGAAAGTGTTAAAATGTTAAAACAAAATAAAATATAACAATAATACATTTCAATTTAATAAATAAAAATAGGTCGGTATTACAGAATCTGACATTATTACCACTTTTAAATATGGTTTGAAATAATTGTAAAAATAAATAATGAAATAAAATGTAATAAAAAATGACAGTATTTTTCATTTCTAATTTGACAACATTACCACGTTTACAATATTACAATAAAAAAAAAAAAAGTAAAAATTTTTAAGATAATAAAAAATAAGATTAAATTTAATCAATAAAAAAAGAAAATTTTACCACTTTCTAATTTGATAACATTACTGCTTTCATAATGTTACAGAATTTGACAGTATTACTACTTTTATACAAAAAAATTCAAAATAAATAAAAAATGTGATTAAATTGAATAAATACCAAAATGACAATATTACTACTTAATTTGACAACATTACCAGCTTCACAATATTACAGAATCTAAAAATACCACTACTTTAATAATAATGGAAATAAATACAAAAATTAATAAAACAAAAATTACAACATTATCAATTTCTTATTTAACAGTATAACAGGCTTCACGATATTACAGAATTTGACAGTATTATTATTTTAGAACAATTATTTCAAACATAAAAAAGAGTTGAAATTTAAGAAACCTTATTTTTTTATTGTTTATTTTATGTTTTTTTTAAATTAAGTTTAATCAGTTATTTGATTCTATTGACAGCCATATTTTTGTGTTTCTCTTCAGGTTGATGCACTACAATATACTAGAATCAAAATTTTGCCAAATATTATTTTACACATTTATTTTATTTATTTATTTTTTGCACCATATAAATACGGGTCTTTATACAGTACATGAGAATATGCAACTGCCTTTAAATGTTAGGATGGGGGTTCCTCAGGACCTCTACTTTATTCAAAACTAATTTAAAGGAAAAAATGTCATGATTTCCTCACACTCGGGTACTTGAAGAACCAAGGCTGATATTTTCCATATAAAGACAGCATACAGTGAGCACCATAAAACGGCTAGTTCACTATATTCTGAGGTCATTGGTTTGCTCTGTGCGCAGGAAAAGGAAGACAAGGCGATCCTGCAGGTGGAGGTGCAGCACCTGCGGCAGGACAACATGCGTCTGCAGGAGGAGAGCCAGACGGCTGCCGCACAGCTCAGGAAGTTCACCCAGTGGTTCTTCCACACCATCGACAAGAAGCCTTGATGGAGACCACTGGAGAACTGTGGAGATGTTCACGGCATTGACCTACACTAGCAAAGCCCGATTCCTACTGCAATTCAGTGAGATGTAGAATGTAAGTATATTCTGGACACTTTTGTTGGTGTAGATGAGCAGCGAAGACAAACGGAGGCAGGTTTAGCCTGGAGAATGTACTCAATTAGCAACTAAACGATGTTTGTGGAGGTGGATTATGAATGTAATGCATCAAGACTTGGCGAGACGTTTGATTTTCTGCCTCCGTTATTGAAAGGTGCAATCAAACGTTGAAGTTCAGCGGGTCAACGGTACCTTCATCGCTCGCGTTTCCAATCATTTCTGTCCACATTCATCAAGTTCTGGCAATAAGGTTCATGGATTTCCCAAGCAAACACAATGTGAAGAGTTCCTGAAGCTGTAAATGTTGAAATTGTGCCTCTAAAAAAAGGCGAAATGACGCAGGTGTGTGCATAACGTGGCTTTCCTCTCCTGCCTCGTCTCGAATCCGCAGTCACATGCCAAAACTCTGTGTCCATCTCTGTACAGAACCTCCAATCAAGTGTCTTGTATTTAACACTGTTATTTAAGCTTATTTAACCTAAATGAGTTTATTTTATTAAAATGAGCGGCTTCTGGAGGGACGGCTGTGAGAAGGCCATACTGTGACCGTTTTGCCAGGACTGTGTCTGAAACATTTGTCTTTTTTTCCCTCATTCCAACATTTGGATGCTGCTAGATAACACTTTGTTGGTTTCTATGCTTTTACAAATGTGTTTCTCTATAAATCTATTTCATGTAAGATGGGACATTTGGTGGCTTTTTTTTTTTTTTTTAATAAATGTAGTATGTAAAATCAATCAGATGCGTCTTCTTAATATTTCAGGTTCTAGGAAAAAAAAACACTGATGAGCAAATTATAACATCTATGTTCTAATATGTTATTTACTTATTTTGATTGCCTGATTTTCATTACTTCAGTGTGAGGGGGAAAATCATTCCTGTACGAGAATGTTTTAATTAATTTATTTGTATTTTTATTTATTTACTTTTTACATTATGGTCATGGGGATTTGAAGGGGAAATTAGCTAATAATGATAGTAATAAAAATGCATGTCTTAATTTTTTCTTTATTTTACATTATGGTAATTGAATTTGTAGGGGAAATAATAATAATGCAAAAAGAAATGCAATTTTTTTTTCTTGCAATTAAATGCAATATTATGATAATGAGAATTTGTAGTGGAAATGTACTTCATTTTCATGATAATAATAATAATGTCACAATGCAACTAAATAGTCATTTTGTTTTTAATTAGATGCAAATGTCAAATTTGATTTTCGCATCAAGAAAGGTGCTTCATTTTCATAATAATAATAAATAATAATAATGCAAAAACAAATAGACTTCGTTTTCTTGTGAAATAAGATGGAAATGTTTTTTTTTTTTTTTTTTTTTTGCATTATGGTAATACAAATTTGTTGGGGAAATGTGCTTATAATAATAACTTTCCAAGAAAATTAAATGCAAATGCATTTTATTATTTGCTTTATGGTCATATGAATTTGTAGGATAATTGTGCTTAATTGTCATTTCTTGCGAAATTAGATGCAAATGCAAAATTTGGAATTTTGTGTCAAGTATGACGGATGTTTCGTCCTGAGATTGACTCAGCTGGCAGGTCCACAAACATCTGCCTCTTTCTAAACCTCCTGTGAGATTGACTTTCTGATGACACTGACATTTTCTCCAGTTCAGCATCAGCAGAGAATTATTGTTGCCATGGAAGCAGCATATTCCGCCGAGGACCCTTTTGGGAATACCTGCCTGAGAATAAGTTCATATGTAATGGACACTTATCTGAGCTTCCACAGACGGGCCTGCTGCAGGTGCGTGTGCATGAGGGTATTAAATGGATGTAGTTCATTCTGCAAGCCACTTTAAAACGAATAATTCACCCCTAAATTACAATTCTGGATTTTAATTTCTAGGTGAACTAATGCTTAGAAACTGATGTTGATGCATCTGGTTGTAGCTGTTTGTGTCTCTACTGAAGTAGCTAGAAGATTCTTTGTTTTTATGTGTAAATTGTTAAAGCTTCAAAGAGGCCAACCTCATAAATTACATTATGTTTAAAGAATCTACTTTCCATTTACACACACTGTAAATCCCAGCTGCCAGGAATTTCTTTCCAACATCAGAGACCACCACAAGATTTAAGTGGTACGAGAGGGGGAGACGTGCAATTCAGGGAACAGAGCAACACACACACACACATTCCCAGACGAGCCGCAGGAGGTCGGAATGACACGGATTCATGGAAACGTTCCTGTTCTCCACATGTGTTAGTAAGCTGGAGACTATCACAGTCTTACACACTGAAACGTGATAAAGCCTCATTTACAGGCCACTGGTAATATTTACTCAAAGCAGACAGGAAGTGGAGATGTGACACACTGTGAGATGTAGGAAGTGCTCGTTGAGTCACGGTTGACTGCATTTTGAGCCCATGTGACACACGGCTGGTCCATCAGCTCAGTGTTCCCATGCTCACGCAAAACATGGGAAAGTTGCAGGAAATTTGAAATGACCTGGAAAAATCATGGAAATTAATGCCACTTTTAAAAGTGATTGAAATTATGAAGTTTTCTAGTTGTGCTCAGCACTGTAATATTTAATCTGCTAATTATAGTGCAATCTATTGTTCATGTTATTTTCTGTGTTATTTTAGTATTATTTATATACTAGTATTTATAAATATTTTAAATTAGCTTTTATTTTTATTTTCCATTTTCATTGTAATTTTAATTTAAATTTTAGCAATTTTATGTGCTTTTTATTTGTTTTCAGGGTTTTTAATATTTCTATTTAATTTATATTCGTTTGTTTTTTTAAGTTTTAATATTTTAACTTAAGCATTTATTTGAATTAATTAATTTTCAGTTTGAGTTTTTCATCTAATATTTGCATTTTATTTTATTTCAGCTTTATTTACGGATTTTTAACAGTTTTAGTTAACAATAGCAACTTTTTTTCCATACCGTGAAAGCATTTATTTAGTTAGGCTATTAAGTTCCAAAAAGGAGAAAAAAATCAGTATGTGAACTTTTGTGATTTGCATCCATGTATATTCAAACATGGTAAATATGCCAAGTAGAGACGTAGATTAGTTCTTTCATGCCTCAGTCTTAAACCAATCACAACATGCACAGTTTAAATTTGTAGAATTTATATTATATGACTTACGAGTTTTTTTTAAATATAGCATGCAAACTGTATAAACAACTTGAATGATACTTTAAAGCTTTTGCAGCTCACATGCTTTCAGTTTTTGAACATTATGCTAAACCTCTTTTGTGTTCCACTGAAAAAAGAAAGTCATGCAGGTTTAGGACGACATGAGGGTGAGTAACTGATATTTGGGTGTATTATATCAGAGTGATCCAAATCCACCAAGTTTGGAAGTTTCCCAAAGCAACATAGTTTGTATGGATGTAGTTTGTGTATTTTTGCAACTTTGGAGCCCCTGCAGTGTCGTAATTACAGTGTACAGCTGCACACGTGCATTTGTTGCTGTTGTAAAGCAATCGGCGGAATTTACTCGATCGCCAAACTTACAAACTCCCAGAACAGACGCTTATAATATATAATATAATAACACTACCTCCAGTGGAAAAAGTGCATCTCCTGTTGTCTCTCATTACATCAAAATCCAGCCACATGTTTGTTCAGAGCTGTTTTGGCTTGTAAACGGTGCTTGATCTGTGCAGATTTCTCTCTTGATTCACACCAGACCACTTTTTCACTGGATTATGGACACATATTTTAGCCGGAAGTGATGGCTTGAAGTTAAAAACGTCTTGATTGATTCTTACAAACACACAGCTTTTTGCTTCAGAAACATTAACTGATGGACTGGAGTGCTGTGGATTATTGTGATGTTTTTATCAGCTGTTTGGACTCTCATTCTGACGGCACCCATTCACTGCAGAGCATCCATTGCTGAGACACTGATGCAATGCTACATTTCTCCAAATTTGATGAAGAAACAAACTCATCCTAATCTTGGATGGCCTGAGGGTGAGTATAAATGTTCATTTTTGGGTAAACTATTACTTTAATGACCTCTGTCTGCTTCATTAGGACAAGAGGAAAGCTATAAAATAAGTGGAGAAATGCAGATTGCAAATGCAAATCCAGACTGCTGACGAGATCCAAACCCGTCACTACAGAACAGAGACTGAATTATCCATTTTGCATGTTGCTCTATTTCAGAATGAGGATCATATATTTCCTGATGAGTTTCCTGTCTCTGGAAAGCCTGTGGTAGCGGCAGCTGTTCGGGTGTGGTGCACAACTCCACCGCAAAGGATTGTGGGTAAGAAGCATGCAATGCATGTTGGCATGTGTTCATATAGTCACTGGATCTCCAGACAGCAGCTAGTCATCAATGCAGACTGTGATTCCAACAGCATCTGGTTTTCATGCAGCAGATTCCCTGAACCGCAAGTTTCCGCGTTTATTAAAAGCAGCGCTGATGTTAACGTACAGACCTTAATCAGGTTGAACATGTTTATTTGACATGGATGAGAACGAGGCTGTGAGGGACAGAGCCAGTTCAATGTCTTAAGGGCTAAGATAGCCATGTTTTCATCAAAGGTTTATGGAAAGACATATTTTCATTGTTCACAACCTCCCTTTCATTCATGTCAAATGAAGTACAGCATCTACTCTGATTAAAGGCCAGTGTTTGTATCACAGTGATGCTATTTTAGCAGTCGCTCTCAAAACAGTTAAACAGCTCTCTTTCTAGGCGTTTCTGTGCTGAAATACACTAGCTTTTAAAAGTTAAAGATATTAATACTTTTATTATGCAAAAAACATTAAATTGATCAAAAGTGAGAGTATAGACATTTATAATGTTACAAAAGATTTCTATTTCAAATAAATGCTGTACTTTCTATTATTCAAAGAAATAAATCCTGAAATAAAAAATGTATCACAGTAAATATTTGACTTTTACATAAAACAGAAGGAAGCTTCTAAAAACTTTTCTTTGCCGTACAGCAGTGATTCCCAAACTTTTTTTATCAGTTGAAAACTTTTGAGCTAAAATATTTATTTGAAGTCCCCCTGAGATTTGGATTTTAATATTTCAGTAATTTTTCACGGTTCTCTAATGTCGGTTAATGGTCGCATGACATGCTGGTAAACAAATAAAATATTTTCTTTTAAAGTATTTATTTTAATTAGACTTTTTTTCTGCATGTGTAGCATTCCGATTTAATGAATGATTAGCTTTTCATCAATTCACAAACCTCATGAAACCTGCATTACAGGAAAGCGGTTGGACTGTCAAAAAAAAAATAAAAAATATATATATATATATATTAACAATTGTTTTATTTTGATAGATTTTGATAAAATTATTTATTTTAATATGACATTTTTTGATTTATTAAAATATTACATTAAATTCGATCTTAAATGTAATCTTTCTAGTGAGTTTTATTTTATTTTATTTCATTAAAAGTTAATTATTTAATCATTTTTTCTGATTAAATTATTTTTTGACTTTTTCCTCAATTCACAAACCCCATGAAACCCTTCATTAGAGGAAAGCAGTTGGACTGTCAAAATATAATATTTCACTTTTGTTTAGTAGTTTATTTAGCTTTTTTTTATTATTATTTATTTTAATTTGACTTTTTATTTAATTTTTAAAATAATAAATCAATAATTGAAATATTTCATCTTTTTTAGTAGATTTTTTATTCGTTTTGTTTTCTTTCCAAAATTATATATTTATTTT